CTGCCTCTAACCTGTCTGTCTGTCTCTGCCTCTAACCTGTCTGTCTCTGTCTCTAAGCTGTCTGTCTGTCTCTAACCTGTCTATCTCTGTCTCTAAGCTGTCTGTCTCTAAGCTGTCTGTCTGTCTCTAACCTGTCTATCTCTGTCTCTAAGCTGTCTGTCTCTGTCTCTAAGCTGTCTGTCTCTGTCTCTAAGCTGTCTGTCTCTGTCTCTAACCCGTCTGTCTGTCTGTCTGTCTGTCTCTAACCCGTCTGTCTGTCTGTCTCTAACCTGTCTGTCTCTGTCTCTAACCTGTCTGTCTGTCTCTGCCTCTAACCTGTCTGTCTTTCTCTGCCTCTAACCTGTCTGTCTGTCTCTGTCTCTAACCTGTCTGTCTCTGCCTCTAACCTGTCTGTCTCTGCCTCTAACCTGTCTTTCTGTCTCTGTCTCTAACCTGTCTGTCTGTCTGTCTGTCTGTCTCTAACCTGTCTGTCTCTGTCTCTAACCCGTCTGTCTCTGTCTCTAACCTGTCTGTCTGTCTCTGCCTCTAACCTGTCTGTCTCTGCCTCTAACCTGTCTGTCTCTGCCTCTAACCTGTCTTTCTGTCTCTGTCTCTAACCTGTCTGTCTGTCTGTCTGTCTCTGTCTCTAACCCGTCTGTCTCTCTGTAGATTCTGAGCAACGTGGAGTCCAGTTGCAGCGTCTCCTCTCACTTCTTAGACTTCCTGTCGTCTCTCGGTTGGCCAGTGGAGGCCGGGCGACGACAGGTGGGTGGGTTCAACAGTTCAGGTCAGTGCTCTGATTGGCCCCCTGTCAAACACATGATACTGATTAACAGGACACTGTTAGGGACAGAGGCTACCTGAGGTTGCTCTGTGCAGCTGATTGGCTGTTTTCTGTCTCCCAGATTTCCCTGTAGTGCTGGGTGAGAGTGGAGGGGGGGTGTTTAACGGTGAGAGGTTTGTCCTGATGTATGCCGACGCTCTGACTGAGATCACCTTCATCGTCCCATCATCTTCATCACACGGTCAGTGTGTGGTGATCTGTATACTGATGTCAGGACTGGGTGCTGAGTGCAGACAGAGACACAACACACGGACCACATACGCACAGGTGTGACCTCACACGGACAGGTGTGACCACATACGGGTGACCTCACACGGACAGGTGTGACTTCACACGGACAGGGGTGACCTCACACGGACAGGGGTGACCTCACACGGACAGGGGTGACCTCACACGGACAGGGGTGACCTCACACGGACAGGTGTGACCACATACGGGTGACCTCACACGGACAGGTGTGACTTCACACGGACAGGTGTGACCACATACGGGTGACCTCACACGGACAGGTGTGACTTCACACGGACAGGGGTGACCACATACGGGTGACCTCACACGGACAGGGGTGACCTCACACGGACAGGGGTGACCACATACGGGTGACCTCATACGGACAGGTGTGACCACATACGGGTGACCTCACACGGACAGGTGTGACCTCACACGGACAGGTGTGACCACATACGGGTGACCTCACACGGACAGGTGTGACCTCACACGGACAGGTGTGACCACATACGGGTGACCTCACACGGACAGGGGTGACCTCACACGGACAGGGGTGACCTCACACGGACAGGGGTGACCTCACACGGACAGGGGTGACCTCACACGGACAGGGGTGACTTCACACGGACAGGGGTGACTTCACACGGACAGGGGTGACCTCACACGGACAGGGGTGACCTCACACGGACAGGGGTGACCATTTAAGGCTCTGTGTGTAAAAGATGTTAACCTAAATGTATAACCTTTTGATTAATTATTTTTCTTTTTGTTTAAAGCGGTTAATTTGTCAAAGAGTCCAGAGGAGATGGAGCCTCCGACTGAGCTACTATCCAACCTGCAGAGTCATTCTGAACTCAGCCAGGACTCTGCCCCCCATCCCACAGTACAGACCTTCAAAATGAAAGCTTATTTTATCTGATTATTAATTATCTGTCTTTCTGTCTGTCTCTGACCTATCTCTCTCTCTGGTCTGTCTGTCCAGGGTTCTCCAGTTGAAGACTTGAACTCTTTTGGTCTTCCGTGGTCGGTCTCTGGCTCTGAATGGAAGCTCCTGATAGTCTGGGTCGAGCACTTGGAGGATATCGGTAACTAACTTTCTAACAAACACTTTCTATAAAACTGCTAACAAGTGTTGTATTCACTTTAGAAATACTACCTGTAGTATTCTGTGAGTACAATGACTACTAACTTTAGTTCAGTACTAATATCTACCTTCAGTGTCACTGTGTGCACCAGCCACAGGAGATCAGCTGTCTGATCTCAGAGGGAATAAAATGTAAACAAACAGCTCAGCAGGGACTGGGAACAAACAGATGCATGATGGGAGGTCACATATCTAGGCTCTGACTTCATCACTGACAATGAACCAGGTCATCTTCATCTTTGTGGTGTGCTAAAGTGAGAACAGATCTTTGACTTTGTGTTTCAGAGAGTTTCCCTGTGTCTGACCTGCTGACGAGGACAGAACCACAGACCAGGTAAACTCAGCCCCAGTCTCGTTAATCAAGGAACCGAAACTGTATGACTGAGACACCCGTCTGTCTCTCTGTCTGCCTGCCAGTGCGGCAAACGTCCAGGTGATCTTCATCCACCCTCTGAAAACTGGACTCTACCGGATCTCATTCCACGGAAACACCACCAGCAAGTTCGGTTTGGTCGTCCCATTGGTCAACGGCAGTGTGGTCAGCAAGAGGTCTCTGGGTATGTCTGCCTGTCTCACTGTCCTTCTTTAGACAGGAAAGCTCCACATTACTCAAAGCTTGAATATGACTAAAAACAACATAACTTCTGTTCACTTCCCTCTGATGAAGACATGAGCACTGGCTCCGATCTGTGTAACCATCTTATTGGATGTTCAGTTCTAATGCCTACCTGAGTCACACTCTACACACTTACGTCATGCAGACACAGAGGTCATTCTGTTTCCAGGTAACTGCACCTAAAACCTTTACCCATCCAGGTCCCCTTAAAAACTCCTTCAGATAATTGCGGTCACCATCATCTTCCATTACTGTTCCTGTCACAGGTTTGTGTGGTGAGGCAGGTTGGCAGACCCAAATGCAGGACACGTAGGCTGAGTTCAAAAGGTTTATTAACAAAAAAAAAGCGAGCACACTTTCTGGTAGAGTGGCTGATAAGAGTCCAAAAACAAAGTAATCCAAAGAAGCAGGGAAACACGACGAGTAAGGCTGGCAACACGACAACATGAGACAGAGGGTATACACGCGACAATGACTGAGGGAAACAAGCAAGGATATACACACACACACACGGGGTTAACGAGACACAGGCAGGCAGAGAGAGAGCGGGGGAAAACAGAGAGACTGACATGCAGAGGGATCACTGGGGTAACAGACATGACACAGGTTACTGAACTCTAGACGACAGACAAGACAGAACCCCAATACCCAACAGACCAAAATAACAGATAATAAACTGACCAAACTCAAAAGTGCAAAACATGGCATGGCTGTGACAGTTCCTCTGCTTTAGACTAATCAGGAGCACATTCAGAGGTGAAAAGAACACTTTCAATAATCAAACATCTTCAGGTGCTTAGTTTTATTTAGGGGTTGTCCCAGGACAAGTTTAAATTTTTTTATTTTCACAAAACACCATATTTCTGTCGCTGCAGCTGTGTGTTGAACACTCTGTTTCAGCTACAGAGTGAAGCATCTCATTCTATTCAATCTTTGTTGGACGTTGCACATGTGCAGTACCCATGTGCAGTAAGGACTACTGGCCAATCAGAAGCAGAGCAGGGCGGGTCCTGACAAGCCGGTAAACACGACTTTGGTTCAGCTGGAAACGAACACTAACTGAAAAAGATATTTCTTTCTTTCGGTTTCCAGGTTTCCTGGTTAGAGAGATGGTCATCAATTGTTGCCAGCGGCGACGTCTGGAAAGTGACAGCACCCCTCCGCCCCATGTCAGAAGGAAGCACATGATCAGTGACATCATCCTTCGCTACCGCAGCCGCCGCTCTGAACCTGCCTTCTACTCCGGCCTGTTCCAGGACCCCTGACTCCACCTGTCGAGACTATTAGAGCTGACTGCGATACTTTTGCATAGTTGTCGGGTTCCACAATCGGGGGACGTTCTGCAGTCGATTATTGTCATTTACATGATGATTTTTAGCTTTATTTGCTTCTGTTACATTTCTTGCCACCTGTAATGCAAAACGAAGAATCTTCTTCTGAGGGAGAACCCCCCAGGCCCCAGTATCAAATATTTAATCAATAAATATTAAAACAAAAATATTCCTGTCTTGTTCAATATTGTGCAATGTTAATGTGATCTAATGTGAGCCCATAAATGTCCACACCTCTTCTCAGCACAGCCCGTGGCTGTGTGCCATGCTGTAGTGACACTGATGATGACTGGTTCAATGAAAGGTCAATGATTATAATCATAAGGGCATCTAAAGTGAGACTGTCAGACATTGTTTTTGTAGCTAACTTTGGCTGAGGCGAGCTTATTTTGTCAGCATGGCGTTGGCTAATCGCACGCTGCTGGAGGCTGCTTGTCCTTGAGTTGTGTACGCCATGGCCACCTGGGATCACCATGGAGCCGGTAAATGATCCACGGCAGCACTCAGCTGGTTTGGGGGAATATCACACGGACGCATGGTGTCTCGGGGAGGGAGGGGTGTCCGACCGACTTAGGTGGGCCGCCCGGGTCCAGCTCTGTGTGGAAAGCACTGTGGTCTGTGTGTCCTGTAAAAACCTCACATTCATCATGTAGCAGCTGATTGGCCCTACTCCCCCCCCCCTCCTTTTCCTCCTCCTCTCCTCCTCCTCTCCCTCCTTCTTCTCCCCCCTCCTCCCATCTGTATTGTGTTTCTTTTGCTGGTCTTTTCGTCCTCCCCTCTTCCTCCTTCTCCTCCTCCGGTCGTCATGGTTACCACGGCAGTGATGATCAGTAACTCCTGCGTCCATTTCTTTTCTCTAACTGATCAAGTTCATCATCTGATCGGTTTTTCCCCGTGAGCTTGAGCAATAACCGTCCGTGACGTCATTCCATTTCCTCTTTGTGTGGGAAGTCGGTGAGGAGAAAAGACCTGCTGATCAGCCAATCAGCTGCCCGTCTGTCTCTCTGCGGGTTTATTTTCTCCTCCTCCTCTGCTTCTCTCCAGCTTTTCTCCTCTTCCTCTTCTTCTCTCCACCGTTTCTCCTTCCTCTCCTCCTCTCCTCCTCCTCCTCCTCCTCCGCTCCGCAGCAGCGATGCTCCCGCCGGGCCTGGCCGGCCTCGGCGCTCTGTCTGCGGACTGGCAGTAGATCGGCAGGTCGGTGCAGGTCGCGTCTCTCCGTCATGGTGCAGAAATCCCGGAACGGCGGGGTGTTCCCCGGAGCGCAGGCCGACCAGAAGAAGCTGAAGGTCGGCTTTGTGGGTCTGGAGGCCGGGGGGACCGAGTCCAGCAGGGACGGAGCTCTGCTCATAGCAGGTAAACACACAAGGACAGCGTTAACCGAGGGAGGGCAGGCTGGCGCGCGGCTGGATAATTGTGTTTGCGTGTGACTGGGCTATTGTGTTTGTGCACTGAAAATATTTAAGTACATTTACTCCAATAAAAATATTGCAAGTATAAATTACCATTTGACAAACCTACTCAATTAAAAGTTTAAAAGTACTTGATAAATTGACTACTCCAAGTGTACTCATTGGCAGAGTACAAGTTACTTTGTTACAAGTTAATAGTTAAGTTAATATTGATTAGTGTGTGCTGGTCAGAGATCTTCACAAGTCATTTTATGCTGCAAGTCCAAGTGTCTGTTTGGAATAACAAGTGCAGCAGCTTATTAGGAAAGAATGCACTTTGTTTGCGTGTTGATTATTTTACTATTTCTGTTGAATAACAACAACAACAACAACAACAACAGCCAAACTCTGATCAAGGAGAGGATTCTGTGAATATATGACAATCAGTCAGTGATCATGTGACCGGTTACAGCTGGAGCCTACATTTGTTCTGCAGAGACTAAAAAGTGTTTGTGCAGCTTGTGAGAAGGCGATGCAGGCTACTTTCCAACGCCATGGCAGAGTGTGCACTTTCTGGATATATTATATTTGTGGAGAAAACAAACCTTCAACCGAAAAGGTTTCTTCATGATTTTCTCATTTTCTGTTGCTTCTTCCCAGCTCATTAATATCTGGTCCTCTCTGAGACAGTGGTACCGGGGACCCGGCGTCCTCGCTGCTGTCTGTCTCATGGTCACCCATGGCAGTGGTACCGGGGACCTGGCGTCCTCGCTGCTGTCTTTACTGCTGGGGTTAGAAGCAACACCAAAATAAAAGTCGGTAACTTTGAGGCACGCTGCTGCACCTGCCTCGAGCCACTTTGCATGTTTTATATTATGTATATATTAATATCATTATATTATGTTCTGATGGCCAGTCATGGCCACTTCAGGTTCAGTAACCACACTATGGGCCAGTCGATCGAGGGACACACCAATCAATTTTCAACTGCAGTTTTATGACTCAAATCTAATACCATGTGGTTTGTTGGCCCAATTGTCCAGCGGCGGTGTCACTGCGGAAGTCTGTAAATATTAGTGTCACTGTGTAAATATTAGTGTTAATATTAGTCAGTGTGTAAATAGTAGTGTTAACATTAGCGCCAGTGTCCAAATTTTAGTGTTAAATATTAGAGTCAGTGTGTAAATATTACATTTATATTTCCTCATTTGACAGACGCTTTTATCCAAAGCGACTTACATTTGAGGAACAACATACAAGCATCAACAGAGCATCAAATACAGATCTACAACTGACAATACATACTAGTAAGAGCTCACAGGACATATCACATCAATGGGGTAGATAACTAGGGAAGGAAGTAAGAGTTAACAAAGTGCAATCAAAACAAGATCATTGTAGGGGATGGAAGAAGAAGAGCACAGGAAGTGCATGTTAGAGGTCAGGAGTTAGAGGTGTTATAAGAGGAAGTGTTCTCGGAAGAGATGATTTTCAAGAGCTTCTTGAAGTTAGAGAGGGACGCCCCTGCTCTGATGGTGTGTGGTAGTTTGTTCCACCATCGTGGTGTCACAGATGAGAATAGCTGGGACTGCTATTCTCATCTGTGACACCTGTGATATTAGTGTTATATTAGAGTCAGTGTGTAAATATTAGTGTTATATTAGAGTCAGTGAGTAAATATTAGTGTTATATTAGAGTCAGTGTGTAAATATTAGTGTTATATTAGAGTCAGTGAGTAAATATTAGTGTTATATTAGAGTCAGTGTGTAAATATTAGTGTTATATTAGAGTCAGTGTGTAAATATTAGTGTTATATTAGAGTCAGTGTGTAAATATTAGTGTTATATTAGAGTCAGTGAGTAAATATTAGTGTAAGTGTATTAATATTAGTCAGTGAGTAAATATTAGTGTAAGTGTATTAATATTAGTCAGTGAGTAAATATTAGTGTTATATTAGAGTCAGTGAGTAAATATTAGTGTAAGTGTATTAATATTAGTCAGTGAGTAAATATTAGTGTAAGTGTATTAATATTAGTCAGTGAGTAAATATTAGTGTTATATTAGAGTCAGTGAGTAAATATTACATTTATATTTCCTCATTTGACAGACGCTTTTATCCAAAGCGACTTACATTTGAGGAACAACATACAAGCATCAACAGAGCATCAAATACAGATCTACAACTGACAATACATACTAGTAAGAGCTCACAGGACAAATCACATCAATGGGGTAGATAACTAGGGAAGGAAGTAAGAGTTAACAAAGTGCAATCAAAACAAGATCATTGTAGGGGATGGAAGAAGAAGAGCACAGGAAGTGCATGTTAGAGGTCAGGAGTTAGAGGTGTTATAAGAGGAAGTGTTCTCGGAAGAGATGATTTTCAAGAGCTTCTTGAAGTTAGAGAGGGACGCCCCTGCTCTGATGGTGTGTGGTAGTTTGTTCCACCATCGTGGTGTCACAGATGAGAATAGCTGGGACTGCTATTCTCATCTGTGACACCTGTGATATTAGTGTTATATTAGAGTCAGTGTGTAAATATTAGTGTTATATTAGAGTCAGTGAGTAAATATTAGTGTTATATTAGAGTCAGTGAGTAAATATTAGTGTTATATTAGAGTCAGTGTGTAAATATTAGTGTTATATTAGAGTCAGTGAGTAAATATTAGTGTTAATATTAGAGTCAGTGTGTAAATATTAGTGTTATATTAGAGTCAGTGTGTAAATATTAGTGTTATATTAGAGTCAGTGTGTAAATATTAGTGTTATATTAGAGTCAGTGTGTAAATATTAGTGTTATATTAGAGTCAGTGAGTAAATATTAGTGTAAGTGTATTAATATTAGTCAGTGAGTAAATATTAGTGTAAGTGTATTAATATTAGTCAGTGAGTAAATATTAGTGTTATATTAGTCAGTGAGTAAATATTAGTGTAAGTGTATTAATATTAGTCAGTGAGTAAATATTAGTGTTATATTAGTCAGTGAGTAAATATTAGTGTAAGTGTATTAATATTAGTCAGTGAGTAAATATTAGTGTTATATTAGTCAGTGAGTAAATATTAGTGTAAGTGTATTAATATTAGTCAGTGAGTAAATATTAGTGTTATATTAGTCAGTGAGTAAATATTAGTGTAAGTGTATTAATATTAGTCAGTGAGTAAATATTAGTGTAAGTGTATTAATATTAGTCAGTGAGTAAATATTAGTGTTATATTAGTCAGTGAGTAAATATTAGTGTAAGTGTATTAATATTAGTCAGTGAGTAAATATTAGTGTTATATTAGTCAGTGAGTAAATATTAGTGTAAGTGTATTAATATTAGTCAGTGAGTAAATATTAGTGTTATATTAGTCAGTGAGTAAATATTAGTGTAAATATTAGTGCCAGTTTGTAAATATTAGTGTAAATATTAGTGCCAGTTTGTAAATATTAGTGTAAATATTAGTGCCAGTTTGTAAATATTAGTGTTAATATTAGTATGACTGTGTAAATATTAGTGTAAATATTAGTGCCAGTTTGTAAATATTAGTGTTAATATTAGTATGACTGTGTAAATATTAGTGTAAATATTAGAGTCAGTGTGTAAATATTAGTGTTAATATTAGAGTCAGTGTGTAAATATTAGTGTTAATATTAGTGTAAGTGTGTAAATATTAGAGTCAGTGTATTAATATTAGAGTCAGTGTGTAAATATCAATGTATTAATATTAGAGTCAGTGTGTAAATATTAGTGTTAATATTAGAGTCAGTGTGTAAATATTAGTGTTAATATTAGAGTCAGTGTGTAAATATTAGTGTTAATATTAGTGTAAGTGTGTAAATATTAGAGTCAGTGTATTAATATTAGAGTCAGTGTGTAAATATTAGTGTTAATATTAGAGTCAGTGTGCAAATATTACCTTCTGTGTGTAAGTGTTAGTGTGAATCAGTGAATACCTTTGTTTAGGTGGGGAGGAGGGTCCTCGGCGGCAGCGCAGCAGTGTCTCTGGAGGAAAGAAACCTCCGAAACGAAATGCCTTCTACAGACGACTGCAGAACTTCCTGTACAACGTACTGGAGAGACCTCGAGGATGGGCCTTCATCTACCACGCCTATGTGTAAATACCTGTCTTTAGATTACACCTGACTACACACCTGTCTGTTACAGTGTTCCCAGATCTATACGAGTTTTTATTACTTTGAGTCGGAGAGTCCGTCTGTCGGCAGGAACATCCTCATTTCCATTCAGTCACATGCGAGGCTGATCATATGAGTTACATCATTTCAGTTTGCCCTGAAATGTTTAGACTCTTAAATCATTTCCAATGCTCAAAAGAGACACCATAATCATATTCTGAGTTATTCAATAATGAATTCACAATTAGAATATCAATAAATACAGATGCAGATAATCAATAAATAATACACAACTGTGGAGAGAAGAAGAGGAGGAGAGAGGGACAGAGGAAAATAGACAGCAGATGCAGCTGTGATCTCTGCCGCCGTCATCACAGACGACACTTCACGTGACGCCGCCGCTTCAGAAAACTGTTCAGAAACTCTTTTCCTGCATTCTGGTGAATTTATGGAGTCACTTTGTTTCATTGGGAGGACCGGGAGGACAGGAGCATTGGGAAGTCTTACTCTGCACGTTCAACACATAACCTTCCTGAACATGCTGGGCTATTCAGGATGTATGGTATAGCAGGGTGATTCAGCTATATTGCTAAAGGGGCCACATTTTCAGAAAGCTAAGGGCCCGGGACCAGACATTTTGGTGGTTTCGCTAGTAGTCCCAGATTAAGTGAATTCAAACGATGTTGCTTAAAAAGCACATCTCTTGACACGAATCCATCATCCGACTTTTGCTCTAGAAACGCTTCAGCTTGTGCTTGAAAAAAGCAACAATCCTCTGGAAACTGATTTCCCCATTTGAATGTCCTTGTGGTGGTATTAGGCCCAAAGCTGTGTCTCGTTGTCAGTGGATCCGTCCACAGCTGGGGACGTTACATCAGCTTTCCTCAGTCGAGCCAGAAGAGTTTCAAAAAACACCCTGGGACCAAGTTCAGGGCGCTAACAGGAGAATGACCCTCATCTACATGTGAAAGACCTGTTCTTTTGACCAGGGATCCATGCCGCCTGGAGAGACGCTGTAGGGCCCTTCTGCTAGAGCGAGACTTACTGAAGACAACGAGACCAGCTCGTAGTTTGCTGAGTTTGAAGTTTTTGTTGCGAACATAAATTTGACTGATAAATTGCCTCAAAGCTGGGATGCTCTGAAATATATTCCTTTGGTTGAGGTGCTCTCGTTGCACATTGGCCTTCCTCAACAGTTTCAGTGCACAGTTTTCTCGTGGTAGCGAGCTACAAGCCTGCAACAGCAGCAGCGTGCAGAGTGGTCATGAATAATGCATGTTGGTGATTGGACTGAAGGATTTATTGTGGCACATATCAACACATAATGTTCCATTTGCAACTTCAAACACAGCATATAAGAAGTGGATCAAAATATGAAATATATCTATGGATATGTTTGAAGAAGTGACACACGGTCAGCTGTTTTCACTGGAAATGAATGTTTTCAGGTCCAGTGTCTCTTTATTGTGAGGAGAACATTATGATTATATCTTCTCATTATAAATACATGCTTGAGGAGTTCATGAGAAGAAGGGGCGGAGGGAGAGATCAAGGAGTTCAGAATCAGGTTTTACTGTACTGCACCGGCTCTGGTTGATGTGGAACCACACTCTACCATGCTCTTTCCCTTTATCGCTTATATGCATCTGTATTTATCGATATTTTCACTGCGTGAGAAAATGGACGTGTGGCGTCTCACGGCCCCGATTTAACTCAAAGCTGTGTACCGCCCTGTACACTGTTAGACTCCATTCAGACTGAATGAACATTAATGCCATTAAGGTGGGGAATGAAATCTAAACTGTCCGTCCATCCGTTAGCTATTCCTGCTCCTCCCAGACCCAGCTGACACTCGATAGGAGGTCTCCCCTGTGCTTGCTGGAGCATTTTAAACCTGAGAATCCGTATCACAGTAATCTGTCTGCACATCCATGGGTCCACTGCTAACAGCTAATCCAATCCAGTCTGACTGTAAAGAGAAGAGCAGCTGCCGTCACAGCAGCCCGTCTGATGGCTGTCATGTTTCCCAAACGTCCCATTGGTTCCCAAACAGACCTGGATATTGGTGTTAGTATGTTAGCATCTAACAGATTAGCAACAACATTTCTGACTTCCTCCATTTTTACACACACTCTGAGATCCACTTTACAATAAGATGTCACTCTGGATGAAGAGTGACCCACATACAGATTGAGACCAGAGCAGGTGATGCTATCAGCTGGAACATCTGCACGTCAGTTAGAGAACGGTCATAGTCATGGGAAATGAAAATGTCATGTTCATCAGGAATAGAGCTGTCTGAATGAATCATTAATGATTATTGATTAATGGATACCAGCGTACAGAACCAGCAGAAGACAGACTGCAGATCAGGTGTCACAGTCTGAATCTTCCCCCTGAAACAGATCTGGTCTTCAGAAACCCAAGAGCCGTGTGTGTTTAATGTGTTCTCTGTTCAGGTTCCTGCTGGTGTTCTCCTGTCTGGTTCTGTCTGTGTTCTCCACCATCAGGGAGTACGAGAAGAGTTCAGAGGATGCTCTCTACATTCTGGTAAAACTGTGCACGACTCACGTTGTTAAAAATACACCTCATCTATCTTCAGATCAGACACTGAAAAACATCTTTAAATAGAACATGGAACGTTTCAACACATCCTGAGGTGTTTAAACTTGTCACTTTAAATCAGGTTTGATTTCTGCTGGTTCTAAAGCAGCAATGATCAGTTTAGTAATTATTGGAGAAAATGAAACAGGAGCTATTTTCAGAATCAGCCCAAAAGTTCATCTAAAATCCTTTTCCTCAGGCTTATGTGATAGGAAGCCAGAGCTGTAGATCTGTGTATGAACAGCATACGCACGTTCTATAATCAGCAGGAATACGTTCCAAAAACAGCAGGAACACGCTCTATGAACATGTTCAGGAACACGTTGCAGGAACACGTTCTATAAACTGCAGGAACATGTTCTATGAACATGTTCAGGAATACGTTGCAGGGAACACGTTCTATAAACTGCAGGAACACGCTCTATGAACATGTTCAGGAACACGTTACAGGAAAATGTTCCATAAACTACAGGAACACGTTCTATGAACATGTTCAGGAACACGTTACAGGAACATGTTCCATAAACTACAGGAACACGCTCTATGAACATGTTCAGGAATACGTTGCAGGGAACACGTTCTATAAACTGCAGGAACACGCTCTATGAACATGTTCAGGAACACGTTGCAGGAACACGTTCTATAAACTGCAGGAACATGTTCATAGAACATGTTCAGGAACACGTTACAGGAACATGTTCCATTAACTACAGGAACACGTTCTATGAACATGTTCAGGAACACGTTACAGGAACATGTTCCATAAACTACAGGAACACGCTCTATGAACATGTTCAGGAACACGTTACAGGAACATGTTCCATAAACTACAGGAACACGCTCTATGAACATGTTCTATAAACTACAGGAACACGCTCTATGAACATGTTCAGGAACACATTACAGGAACATGTTCCATAAACTACAGGAACACGCTCTATGAACATGTTCAGGAACACGTTACAGGAACATGTTCCATTAACTACAGGAACACGTTCTATGAACATGTTCAGGAACACGTTACAGGAACATGTTCCATAAACTACAGGAACACGCTCTATGAACATGTTCAGGAACACGTTACAGGAAAATGTTTCATAAACTACAGGAACACGCTCTATGAACATGTTCAGGAACACGTTGCAGGAACATGTTCTATAAACAGCAGGAACACTTTCTATAATCAGCAGGAACACGTTCCATAAATAGGAGGAACACACTCTACGAACATGTAGAGGAATACGTTGCAGGAACACGTTCTATGAACATGTTCAGGAACACGTTGCAAGAACATGTTCTATAAACAGCAGGAACACGCTCTATGAACATGTTCAGGAACACGTTACAGGAAAATGTTCCATAAACTACAGGAACACGTTCTATGAACATGTTCAGGAACACGTTACAGGAACATGTTCCATAAACTACAGGAACACGCTCTATGAACATGTTCAGGAATACGTTGCAGGGAACACGTTCTATAAACTGCAGGAACACGCTCTATGAACATGTTCAGGAAGACGTTGCAGGAACACGTTCTATAAACTGCAGGAACATGTTCATAGAACATGTTCAGGAACACGTTACAGGAACATGTTCCATTAACTACAGGAACACGTTCTATGAACATGTTCAGGAACACGTTACAGGAACATGTTCCATAAACTACAGGAACACGCTCTATGAACATGTTCAGGAACACGTTACAGGAACATGTTCCATAAACTACAGGAACACGCTCTATGAACATGTTCTATAAACTACAGGAACACGCTCTATGAACATGTTCAGGAACACATTACAGGAACATGTTCCATAAACTACAGGAACACGCTCTATGAACATGTTCAGGAACACGTTACAGGAACATGTTCCATTAACTACAGGAACACGTTCTATGAACATGTTCAGGAACACGTTACAGGAACATGTTCCATAAACTACAGGAACACGCTCTATGAACATGTTCAGGAACACGTTACAGGAAAATGTTTCATAAACTACAGGAACACGCTCTATGAACATGTTCAGGAACACGTTGCAGGAACATGTTCTATAAACAGCAGGAACACTTTCTATAATCAGCAGGAACACGTTCCATAAATAGGAGGAACACACTCTACGAACATGTAGAGGAATACGTTGCAGGAACACGTTCTATGAACATGTTCAGGAACACGTTGCAAGAACATGTTCTATAAACAGCAGGAACACGCTCTATGAACATGTTCAGGAACACGTTGCAGGAAGACGTTGCAGGAACACGTTCTATAAACAGCAGGAACACTTTCTATAATCAGCAGGAACACGTTCCATAAATAGGAGGAACACACTCTACGAACATGTTGAGGAACACGTTGCAGGAACACGTTCTATGAACTGCGTTCCTCCAGCAGAGAATTTCCTCCTGGCTGTCCTACTTGGCGACACCGTTACATAACGTCCCAGAGGTTCTCACTTGGATTCAGGTCTGGGGAACGTGAGGGCCGATCAGTGGCATCAGTGCATCTTTCAGGATATGCCTACACACTCTGGCCACATGAGGCCGGTCTTTGTGGGAGGAACGTGGGACCCACTGCACCCGGAGGAACCCGAGGCAGATGAATTGAGAAAATAATGATCATGTGATCGATCAGTTGCAGCCGTGGTTGTTTCTAACAGAGTGTTGTGTAACAGGAAGTGGTGACCATCGTGGTGTTCGGGGTGGAGTACATGGTGAGGATCTGGGCTGCAGGTTGCTGCTGTCGCTACCGAGGATGGAGAGGGAGACTTAAATTCGCCAGAAAACCTTTCTGTGTCATTGGTGAGTCTGATGCCTTTAACAACACTTCATCTTCTCTCAGACAGGTGAGGAAACTGAGAAGAAATCCTTGACTGGATGAACTCGTGATTAAAACCGTTGGATGTGAGCCACATGGTTGGCTTGATCAGCAGCAGCTCTCTGTCTCTAAAAATACAGCGTCATGGTATTAAGTGAACTCTGTTGTGATTAAATGAAGAGATTTTGAAAAAGAATGAAGATTCTCTCTGACCTCTCTGGCTGCAGACATCATGGTGTTGATCGCGTCCATCTCGGTGTTGGCTGCGGGGACTCAGGGGAACGTCTTTGCCACTTCAGCCATCAGGTCGCTTCGTTTCCTTCAGATTCTGAGGATGATCAGGATGGACCGCCGGGGAGGAACCTGGAAACTGCTGGGATCAGTCGTCTACGCTCACAGCAAGGTAACCTGGGCTATCCCGGTCTGCCTCTCCATCTGACATTTCAGCTTACTAAACAGCTATAACTTCAACTGCTAACAATACAACACTTCAACTGTTTCTACATCTTCAACTTCAGCTGACATATGGATCCTGACATTTAAAGTATTTTCACACTGCTTCAATCATTTCAACTGCTTTCACTGCTACACTTCAACCTTCAACTTATTTTTTGCATGATATGAGGAAGATCTGTAATAACATTGTTCAGCATTGCAATGATGACATGACTTGCAATAAATAAAAAAAATGCATATTAGTAATGCAGTTCCTATATCAGTCTGATTGTCTTAAATTCAGAACAGAATTAGAACTGAATATTTTAAATATAACTAAATGTTGTTTCATGTGAAAAAAATAAATCCTATTCCTAACATCAAAATACTGATTAACGTTTAGAAAGATTGAAGAACTCCTGGCCTCCTCCTCCTTTTCCCTCTGCTGCTGCCCAGGGCGCCGGATTCACTTGAAGATGAGACGTTCCTTTATTGATCGCCTGTAGGGGAAATTCAGTCGCAGTAGATAGACCGGAGACTTCACACCAGAAGTCTACCAATTCTTCTAACAACAAAGCCAGCTGAGCTAGCGTTGTAGTTTGGTTCCACAAAATGTGAAAAAACGATTTAGCCTACTGTTCTGGTTATTGGCTTCAAATAAGGCTTAATGCTCACACAATTTCTCTTGACTGTCTAGAGAGCAGATTAACATATCACTTTCTACATGTTTACATGTTGATGCTTGTTGAACAGGTGTATTGATTAAGTATTGGCTTTTCACTTGAGAAGGATTTATTACATGTACTTTTTACATACGTTTTTTAGTATCTTTCTGACAGAGCATTTGACATCTGATCATTGTTATTGATCCTGGACCGTATCGATCAGAACTCCTTTAGCGACTCTAACTTCTGTTTCGACTCTGGGTTATTATGCTCTCTCTCTGGATTATAATGTCTCTCTCCCTCTGCAGGAGTTGATCACTGCGTGGTACATTGGCTTCCTGTGTCTGATTCTGGCAAGTTTCCTCGTTTATTTGGCTGAAAAAGAAGACAATGAACAGTTTGAGACGTACGCAGACGCCCTCTGGTGGGGACTGGTGAGACACTACACACTTCTAAAACACACAGTGACAGGCTGTGATGTCTCTGTAGAGATAAAATAACTGTTGGTGTCAGAGTGTAGTATTTAGTTTGAAGGTAAAGTGAAGCTTCTTGTTTTAATTGGCCAGTTTAACAACAGAGATGCATTTGTACAGATACCAACACATTTCCATCCTAATCAAGAAACATACATGAAAACAAACAAAAGTGCAGTGTGTCCGTTTTAGATTTAGGTTTATTTTTAATCACATTACAGATCAGATAACAGATGGATCTTTTGACTGCGCCTCTCTGTCGAGGTTATTTTGGCCTTTGAGTTGAATAAGGACTGCTGACCCCTCGGCAGACGATCTGATTGGTGTGTGTCTGTCTCTGTCAGATCACCTTGACAACCATTGGCTATGGAGACAAGTTTCCCATCACCTGGAACGGGCGTCTTCTGGCTGCAACCTTCACTCTGATCGGAGTTTCATTCTTCGCTCTGCCTGCTGTGAGACACTCTAATGTTGTTTACCTGAGTTTACGAAAGACAGGTGAACCTCCACCCGGTTCAACCCAGCTCACCTGTCTGTCTGTCTGTCTCTCAGGGGATCCTGGGTTCTGGTTTTGCTCTGAAGGTTCAGGAGCAGCACAGGCAGAAACACTTTGAAAAGAGACGAAACCCAGCTGCTGGACTCATACAGGTGAACCGACACTCTGACTGCACTCCTTCTCAGAGTTCTAACTCAGCCAAATCCAAACACACGGATTGAATCATTCAGCGTGACCACATTTCCTGAGATATCAGTAACTATAATGTCCATGAAGAATAAACCTCCATAGGAGTAAAAAGTCCCCTCAGAATAATGTTAAAAACGAGAGTGCCAGCTCCACCACGGCTAGCCAGTGTAGCAGATCTAGGCTACGTAACATTTTAATACAGTTATGAAAATTAATATTTCTGGGAATATTAATTTATGCCTCGAAATTAGGAGCACCACCTAAAGATTTGCTTGTCTGCCCAAGGCTTTAGGTCCTTGAGTATAGCCTGAGAATTACACAAATTTCTGGTAATTCATTAGTTGTTAACTTAGTGGTTCATTTATTCTGAAATCGTAAGCTCTAGTCAATCAGTCAGTCTCGAATCTGAGGGTGAGTTCTATGTATAGGGACTCTAGATCCTTAATAACACACACACAACATCACTATGCTCAAGGTGAATTTATTATTTAACAAAAGAGTACAATAGTGGGTAAATGTGGTAATATTACAGGGACAACAGTCAATATGACAATGTAAAGCTCGATTGAATTTCAGTTTATATTGTAGAGGGAGAGAACTAGAGAACACCAATGAGTCACAGAGTGTGGTTTGTTTTGCCCTAGCGTTGCCGCAGGTCCCGTAGCGAGGCTCGACTGCCAGTTGGCTCGTGGAGTTGGTTCTGGCCCGACCCCAGTGGCGTTTTCGAGTTGAGTTCGTAACCGGTGGATTTGTTCCGGAGTCCTTTGTGGGAAGCGCTTGCAGCAACGGGCCGTCAGCCAAGGCTTTTGCTCTGATCTCAGTTCGTTTGGTGTCGCTATAGCGGAGCCCACTCAGGGTTCTGTCGTCAGAGCCGTGGTTTCATTTATTCAAGGCCATAAATGAAGGCTTCTGAGTTTCTGGTCCAAAGTTGTTCAAAACGATCGGATGAGGTTGCAACAACAAAATCAAATAAACTCAAACATTCGCCGTAGGTTCGTGAGGCCTCGGTAATATAGGCTATTTAATGTTGCTGAGATTAAACAGGCAGCTCCAAACATTGGAAAATTGGAATTCAGGGTCGTAGCTTTCTCAGCTCGTCTGAAGGAAATTAAAGTACGAAACGAAAAAAAAGATCGGAATTTCAAAAAGTAAAGGAAGTTAAAAGAGCGTATACGTTTAGTTTCAAGAAAGTTTTTAGAAGAGAAGAACGAGCTTTTATTTTTTGAAGAGAAGTGAAGACAAAAGACAGCAAGGCCTTTTATTGACTTCACTAGGTAGTGGTGACGTCAATTTTGGAGGGGGTCTCCAGGGAAGTCCCTAAGGTGTTAACTTTTTGGGATAAAGAAATATAGTTGCGCGTATTTCTCTTTAATCTCTCTCTCCACAATATTGACATTCGGATAAAGACAATTAAAACGAGGCTAAACACTATGGAAAAAGTTTATAATGGTTATATAAAACGTAACAAAGCTTAATTACCTGTCCTCAGTATACTTGCTGGTTACTGGTTTTAACTCGAGACAGTTTAGATGTAAGCGTGGCAGCAAAATTTCGTTTATGCAATTACATGGTGATAGTTAGGCCTACTTTAGCGATCCTTGTAAGTGTAAGCCGAGTTTTAAACACTGGCGTGTTATACCTTTCCTGTCCCCTTGGTGGCGCTCGGGTCACACGAGAAAACAGTAGACATTCCACTTTAACGGGGAGGCGGGGGATACACACAAGCGTATCAATGGGTAATTTAGTAGGAAATTGTGTATGAAACATTTAACTAAAGCATTAGTTAATACTGAACAGACAGTGATTACTAGGGAATAACAGGGATGAATTAAGACAAAACAGAAAGAGGTTAGAGAACTCCTTCAAGATTATTTTCTTATGGGTCTGCTAGTTTTCAAACATCACTAAAGGATAACAACAGGGTTATTACTTACTAAACTCAGAGGCAAACGCTGCTGCTCACTTAGCAAGGTTATTATTTAAACAGAACAAACAGTTATAATGGAACCTTGCCTGGTTCGAGAAACAGGGGTTGTTATGGTCTCTTTTCTCTGCATGCCTGGCTTATCACATCGGCTATCAGAGAATGAAATGGTGGTTTATGGCTCAGCTGTTCTGTGGAGAGAAAAGAGTCAGATTGAGGCCGGAGGTGACCTGCGGGAGGGAGAAGGGGTCAGATCGCCCCCTTTTTCTGTCCTGTGGACTGTCTTTAGTGACACCTTTAAGGCTAGGAAGGTTCATTAAGGCTCTTTGAAACACAATCCTTAAGCGATTCATTGTCTGATTGAGTCACTTTCGGTCCTTACCAAACACCAGGCGATGTCTCTGGTTTTTACATGTGAAAAGGTCAACTCTCGGGGAGGGAAACTTCCCTCCCTCTTTTGACACCATCTGACCTTCATTGAAGTGCGTCTGGTTGAGTTCACAACACCAGGACAGCAGCAGAATGGATGGGGGGTAGAGTCGGATTCTGATCCTGAGAGAGAGAGAGACGTAATTTCACATAAGACAATAATAAACTGCTTGAAGACGAGCTATATTTATGTCCGCCCGGGTATATTAACGTCTACCCAGGCATATTAATATTAATGTCCGCCCAGGTATATTTACAAGCGCCCAGGTATATTAACGGATGGTCGCCCGGGTATATTAATATTAATGTCTGCCCAGGTATTTACATTTACTCATTTGGCGCTTTTATCCAAAGTGACTTACATTTGAGGAACAACATACAAGCTTCATCAGAGCATCAAATACAGATCTACAACTGACAAAACATACTAGTAAAAGCAGCAATAAGTACTAGTAAGAGCTCACAGTACATATCGCATCAATGGGGTAGATACCTAGGGAAGGTGCAAAAAGTGCAATCTATACAAGATCATTGTAGGGGATAGAAGAAGAAGAGCACAGGAAGTGCATGTTAGAGGTTAGGACGCACTGCTCTGATGGCGTGCGGTAGCTCGTTCCACCATCGTGGTGTCACAGATGAGAACAGGGACTGGGATTGCTTTGTGTAAAGGGACGGCAGAGCCAGGTGGCGTTCGTTGGAGGAGCGTAGCCGCTGAGAAGGAACGTAAGTTTGTATTATGGAGTTTAGGTAGATGGTGCAGAACCAGTAGTCACTCTGTATGCAGCATTAGTGACTTGAATTTGATTCTGGAGGCCACAGGGAGCCAGTGGAGGTCACTGAGTAATGGAGTGACATGAGTTCTTTTGGGCTGGTCAAAAACCAGACGTGTTGCTGCATTCTGAACCATTTGTAAGGGTTTCACCGCACAAGCTGGAAGACCTGCTAGGAGGGCACTGCAATAGTCGATGCGAGAGATAACCATGGCCTGTACCAGAAGCTGGGTGGTGTACTGAGTGAGGTAGGGCCTGATTTTCCTTACATTGTATAGAGAAAAGCGGCATGACCGAGAGACAGTAGCAACATGGTCTGAAAAGGACAGCTGGTCATCAATCCTGACACCCAAGTTTCTCACCACCTTGGCTGGAGTGATGGTTGCAGAGTCAATTTGTAGTTTGATGTTATGGTGGATAGATTGCTTGGCTGGAATGACCGAGAGTTCAGTCTTAGAGAGGTTTAGTTGAAGGTGGCGAGACTTCATCCATGCAGATATGTCCGATAGACAGTCCGTGATCCGCGCCGAGACAGTGGGATCGCCTGTACAGTACAGGTACAGTTGCGTGTAGTCTGCGTAGCAGTGGTAAGAGAAGCCGTGCGAGCGAATGATTGGCCCCAGTGAGGTGGTGTAAATTGAGAAGAGAAGGGGCCCAAGCACTGAGCCCAAGCACTGAGCCCAAGCACTGAGCCCAAGCACTGAGCCCCTGTGGAGAGGCAGTGGGAGGAGGATAATTTTCCTTGCCACAAAACATTAGTTATATTAACGAGCGCCCGGGAATGTTGACGTCTGCCCAGGTATATTAACGTCTGCCCAGGTATATTAATATCCGCTCAGGTATATTAATATCCGCTCAGGTACATTAATATTATCGTCGCTCTCTCTCGCGGCCAGGTATATTGACTGCCGCCCTGGTATATTAACGGCTGGTCGCCTGGGTATATTAAATCACGCCTGAAATCTCCACTTGCAGAGGCTTATGTAGTCAGACAGCTGGTGTTAGTTAGCATACAGTCAAACCATAAAGGGAGACGGCGCTCCTCGAGTGAATGGCAGGCACTCTATGGATAGTAACCATGGCAATGACTTCTGTGCGCTACACAGCCGTAGCCTTTTTAACTTAAATTAAAATTATACATAGGCTAACTTTATTTACCTGCATTTAGGTTTGCGGGGATGCTCTGCCATGTGAATTCCCCCCTGTTGATGTCCTGATAACTATTTAGATTCTGGAAACTCACAAACAGTGAGCATCAGTCTCTCTTCCAATGATTTGTGAAAGACAATTCAACTTCGGCAGCAGGCGGGCATGTGCGTGAGGCGAGCACGACCGGGACACTTTCACGGGAACGCACCCAGTACACCTTGTGCTCGACCACTTCACTCACTGTAACTGGGACACTTGCTACTGAACATAGACTGTTTCTGCTGATCATTACTGTAAGTATGTGCAATAAAACCTTCGCAAGTAAAAAGACAATACTTTATCAATCCACCTGTCTGTAAGGTAAGGTTAAACATTTAGAAATGGTTAATTTAATCATCTCTGTCCTCAGTATTTCATCCTGTATGTTTTATACAAGCACAGCTAACGCTAGCTTGGAATTAGCCAAATGTTAAAAACAAGCTAAGTAGAAAGCTGTCTGTCTGGAGCACAGACTGGTCTGTAGTCTTAAAGACTCAGCTGCTGGCTGAGACAAACCAGCCGCTACTCCTCCTACCTGTAACGTTACCTGCAGCCAGCAGGGTCTGGTCTTCCCAAATCCATCACTAAATAATAGTAAAGGATTGATAGCGGTATCGATAAAGAATCGGATCGTTAAGCAGTCTCAATAAGG